CGAATTCAGAAACGGCAATATTCTCTCCGACACTCCAATTTTATCAGATTTATTAATATAGCCCTTCGCATTTTTGTATTTTCACAATTCAGGCCACAAACCGTCCTATGTGAACAAACTTGTTAGCTATGACGTTACATTTTCTACCAATAGGTTAATTTGAACAAGGATGGGATCATACCAGCATTAATTCGCCGAATTCCATCAGAACTATGCAATTAAACATGTTTGGGCTAAATTAATACTAAGATGAGTGACTTCCTAGAAAGTTCTCGTGTTGCATCCCTCTCCATTTGATTCGATAAAAAAGAAGAAGTTAATTTCAACACTTGCAAAGAAGCATATCTAATGATGAGCATCATTGATGAGGCCTTTCATTACTATGTTTTTTTCCGGACTATGTATCTAATCCAAAAGTAGTTGAGAGTCACTTATCCTAACTAGGATACCAAGATAATTGCATAACATGAAGGAGACTTGATCCTTCGACTTGTAGGACTGAATTTTTTTTTGATAAAAATGAGGATCCAACAGAAACAAATTCACTATTAGAGTTTCGTATTATCCAACCTGATCCGGATTGGGTGGTCGAATGGTGGAAGCTTGCATCGTGATTGCATTTTAACTATCCGATTGGAGGAAGGGACCAAAGTGATAATATTGGACTAGAATATGATTTATGTTAATATTGAGGGCAATAAAAGTATTTATATATTCTATATTAGGACATACTGATTCTATTGTGTGTATATTATTCATGTAATAAGCAGTTCTCTAGCTTCACATGGTATCTTAGAGGAAGTTTGGACATCATATTATTTTATATTAAATTTTTCTGATAACTAATTATCTTAGAGCAAGAGAGTATGTGTTTCATTGTTTGAACTTTGAATTAACAACATAGCCATTTTCAATGTTAATTTTCAAATACGCTTTACTTTAGTCGATCAACTTACTATCATCATATAATGTCTAAACGTATACATGGTACAGTGTATTTTTTCTAGAAAAAAAA